CACTAAACACTGCTGGGGAAGCAACTATTTTTTTTTAAATATAAGAAATGAAAAGTGGAGCTGGAGCAATAGCACAGTGGGTAGGGCACTTGCCTTGCATGCAGCAGCCACAAGTTTGATCCCCAACATCCCATATGGTCCTCTGAGCACGACCAGGAGTAACCCCTGTGCATCACCGGTGTGACCCAAAAAGAAAAAAAAAATGAAAAGTCATCTCTCAAAGTAGCATGATATAATTTATAAACACACTAAGGAACTTCTATACATCAGTGAGAAAAGCTAGGGTCTGGAGATGTGGCTCAGTGGGAAGGTGCCTTGCAGGTTGTAGTCTGGAAGTTCAATTCTTGGCACAACCCCACATAATGACTGCTATCTTAGTGGTACTAGTGTTGGGATTCCTGAGATCACATCAACCTTCTTATTAATCAGGCAAAGACAAATTCAGGTCACAATAAGATATTCCACACCCACCTGATTGACAAAAATTCACAAGTCTGAAACTTTGGCAGGTATGTGTATCCATAAGAGTTCTTTTCAGGGGGTATGGTGCTGCCAGCAGGTCAACCTGTACCTGCAGGGCAAGTGCATCAGCAGCCTGATGGTGCCTTCAGACTTCCAGATATCCCAAAATTGCCATCGTACCTTTGGCCGGACCCCAACAACTTGAGGCCAAGTTGACCAAGAAATTAAACAGCCAAGTTAGGTATGTGGGAGCCACACTTACAAATTATCTCTGGCTCAGCTATACAAGCTCATTTATTGACCTTTTTTCAGAGACCTGAGTGAAGAACTTGGATATCGACCATATCCACACAGTGACCAAGCTCACTGAGGTTTTGCAAGAGTTCAAGATGCCGCTCTGTCTAACATTCATAGATTTAAAGAAGGCTTTGATTCTGTTGAGACTGAAGTAGTCACTGAAGATCTACCCAAACAGGATGTTCAAATGCAGTACAACAGTATCCTCCATGAGCTGTATTAATGGATTCACCACCAGGATCTCACCATTCTACAAAGAAGTGATCATCAACGTAAAGAGAGGGGTTCAGCAGGATGATACGATTTCACCGAAACTCTTCAGTGCCACCCTCGAGAACATCATGCAACAACTGGAATGGGAAGAAATGGGAGTGACGATAGACAGTTGGCAACTACACCACCTCCACTTCGCTGATGGCATCATTCTAATAACACCAAACATCAGCCAAGCGGCACGAATGCTGGCCGACTTCGACCATGAGTGTGGAAAATCTGGTCTGCAGCTGAATCTCATGAAGACAATGTTCATGAGAAGTGGACTAGTCCCTAATGTTCCATTTGCTCTCAACAGAATGAACATCTCTGAATGCAGCAGTTACATGTACCTAGGTTGAGAACTCAACATGACGAACGACCTGGCACCTGAGCTGCAGAGGAGGAAGAAAGTGGCATGGAATGCCTTTAAGAGCATTGAAGAAGTGGTTAAGAGGACAAAAAACCTCCAGCTCCAGGCACATCTTGTTGACTCCACTGTTTTCCTGCACTAACATATGCCTCAGAGACCTGGCCCTATGAAAACAGGATGAGAACGCTGTTTGGGTCACCCCAAGAGGAATTGAAAGAGCTATACTTGGAGCTACGCTTCATCAAATGAGAGAAGGAATCCGGAGTTGTGACCTCCATCGACGATCAAAGATCAGAGATGCTGCCTTGTTTGCCAAGGTGTCGAAAATCAGATGGGCCAGACATGTAATGTGATTTGGAGACGACCACTGGACTAGAGCCGTTACCCACTGGATTCCACGGGACATCAAAAGAACACCTGGTCGCCCACCTACAAGATGGTTGGACTTCTTTGTTAAGACCCTGATGATGCTCTTTGTGTTCCTAGAGCAAGCAGACATCATCGGGCTACATGACAGGGACAAATGGAGACATTACTGGCGCCTGCAAGGGCAAAGCGACGGGACAACGATATGACAAGTGATTACAAGTGAAGTGATTTCAGAGACCCATAAATCTCGAAAGAGATCAAAAGCCACAGTTGGGTCTGGCATGGTGCAATGTGGGTGAGCAGGCACGCCCTGCAGAACATATGCCGATAGTTTATGTCCCTGGAAAAGATGGAAACAAAGGCCATGATCCAAAGACACACAAAAGAATCTCTGAACCGAGCAGCTCACTGCAGAGATGCCTCTGGAGTTTAAGCCAGACAGACTTCACCGGGATGCCTCAGATGAGGGCAGGCATCATCCCTCTACCTGTCCCCTAAAAACCCATTGGCGGCCGTCAACTTCCAGAATCCAGTGAGAAGTGCAGATACTCAGGTTCAGTGATAATAAACTCCAGGCCACATGGGATAGGGGATGAGCCAGTGCCTTTCATCCCTCATCCCCATGGGACCCTGGAGGTCATGCCCACAAACTGTCTCTGGCTGCTGCTTAAGCTCCTTAATGACCATGATCCAGAGACACACAAAAGGAATCTCCGAAAGTGAGCAGCTCATTGCAGAGATTTTTCCAGACCCCAATTATCTAAAATTTTAGAATTCCAGGAGCACATGGCCACTCTTGCAGCCACGGGACTTCTTATGCTATTCATAACAAGCAATACAAAAGAGAGCACAGGGGAGATTGTCTGCCATACAGGCAGTGGGAGAGGTGGGATGGTGGGGGGATACTGGGGACCTTGGTAGTGGAAGATGTGCACTGGTGGAAGATTGGGTGATTGATCATTATATGACTGAAACTCAAACAGGAAACAGGAAAGCTTTGTAACTGTATTTCAGTGATTAAAAATAATAAATAATAATAAAATTAACATTCTGAATTTAAAAAAAGTAATGTCAAGTTCATGACCAATTCAATCAGCTTAATCAATGGCTGAATAAATAGCAGTACTCCTACATTAAAAAAAAGAATTATTGGGGCTGGAGCAGTAGCACGCCGCCAACCCGGGTTCAATTCCCAGCATCCCATATGATCCCCTGAGCACTGCCATGGGTAATTCCTGAGTGCAGAGCCAGGAGTAAACCCTGTGCATTGCTGGGTGTGACCCAAAAAAACAAACAAAAAAAAGAATTAGTTTTTGTTCACATCAGTAACATATGCTTACTACAAGCACTTTGGGAGACAAATTGGCATTGTCTCTCAAACCTACTGTGTAGCACTCCACTCTAGCATCCCAGAAGGAACTCTCTCTCTCTCTCTCTCTCTCTCTCTCTCTCTCTCTCTCACACACACACACACACACACACACACACACAAGTACAAGGGATCATAGGGCTGGAGCATTAGCACAGTGGTAGGGCGTTTGCCTTGCGCGCAGCCAGCCCGGCCAAGCCGGGTTCGATTCCTCCGCACCTCTCGGAGAGCCTGGCAAGCTACCGAGAGTATTTCACCTGCACGGCAAAGCCTGGCAAGCTATCCATGACGTATTGAATATACCAAACACAGTAACAACAAGTCTCATGACAGAGATGTTACTGGGCCCACTTGAGCAAATCGATGAACAACGGGAGAATAGTACTACAGAATCCACTACTCTAAGCTAGAAACAAAGGCGAGCTCCATGGTTAAATTTGCTTCTTTACTTGTAAAGGAAAAATGAAACATGATCATATGTACTCAGTAAAGTCAAAGTAAAATGAATGAAATAATACACAATAAATGCTTTACCTCTAGTAAAAATACCCTCACTGCCTTCCCAATTCATAAAACAAGGGAAATAAATAACTGAGATTAATTTACATTAACATCAATTTACATTTAAAAGTAATTACATTCATATTAATTTACACATGTAAATACCCGCGTACAGAAACTCCCCCTTATTGGCCACCCCTATATATATATCATAAACTCACCTCTCTTAAAGCTGAGGTTGCAGAGTGCTATATCTGCTGCCCCCTTATGGCCATAGTCAACAATTACACACTCTCCCCTAGGAACATAGAAGCAGAATTTGGGGGGGAAACTAGTCACCACGAGCTCTGCTCCATCCCCTTTCCTCCAAGTTTGCCAATTTACAAAAATATATATATATATATGTATATAAAACTACGAGGGGTGGAAATATAGTACAGTGGGTAAGGAACTTGCTTTCTATGCGACTGAACTGGGTTTGATCCCTGATATCGTTCCCAGAGTCAGCCAGGGAGAGACTGCTGAGTGCAGAACCAGAAATATCCTCTGAACCCCATCAGATGTGGCTCCCCACTTTCTTGATTAAAAAAAAGAAAGCAACTACTTTGTAGAGAAAAACAACTCAGACATATACATATCTTAATAAAATTCACTCTGTGGATACATAACTGCAGGGAAGACAAGAGGAATTCTACTTTGAGCCAGTAATTTTACCTCCTAGTGCCAGTTCATCTTTGTAAGAGAGGACTAAAACTTCCAGTGAAGATGAAATTAGAACTTGTATGTAAAACCCTCATAAACACACTAGCACAATATCTGACACAGAGTAGTGACCCATTTTGAAAATTACCTGATGAGTGACCAGAGAGATAGTAGAGCTAATAGAATACTTGCTTTGAATGCAGTCAAATCTGGGTTCAATCCCCAGCAACCCATATGATCGCCTGAGCATCACTGGTGTAGCCTCCAAAAAAACCACTAAAGTGAAATAAAATCATCTGATGAGCCTCAGCTCTAATTCCTAAGTCCTTTCATTTAGAGGAAAGGAAACGGAGGTCCAGAAAAGAGGGACAGACTTTACCAACAACTGTTTAAGTCAGTGGCTGAACCCATACTCAAGCACAGAGCCCTAGAGGAAGAGGTTAGAGGAAAGAAATATTTGGGTTCCATCCATTACTGAACATGACACCTTCACTTTGCCACAACCCTCCACCACCTCCCCCATTCACTTCACCCATGCCCTGCTCCTGTCCCACCTCCCGTCACACATTGAGGCCTTTTCATATCTTCATGCATCTGAAACCTTAATGTACCACTGGACAGAACAGAAAGACAATTCATTCTTTACTCAGTTATGTGAAGGGACCTGGGGGTCATCTAGTCCAGCTCAATCTAAAGGCAAGCAGGAAGCCCTGACATGTTGCCCCTGACAGGTTCCTGACTAAAGGGGGCAATACCCACAGTCTGGGACCTCTCTATGATGTTGATGACTTCCAACACTCTGATGGTCTTAATAGTCTGAAAATGTGTTACAACTTGGCCTGTATGTGAGCACAGCCCATGAGGAGGAAGGTGAAGTTCAGAGGTCCTGAAAGGAAAAAAGGGAGGAGTCAGGGACCTTTAAGGACTCAGACCATTCCCCACCTTAAGATTCCCCTTACACACCAGGGCATTTGCTCCCCCATCTTTAATGGGGGAGTCCCATAACCTTCCTTCTACCTCCTTGGAGGTCACATGTCTGGGCTTCCGCAACCCTCAACCCTTCTCTGAATCCAAGTCCCTCTCTCTTGTGGGAAATCATGGAAAAGCAGGACATACACAGTACATCAGGAATTTTCCTCTCACTTGCCTGAAAGTTTAACTTGGAGCTGCAACAGATAATAGCATCACAGGGGCAAGACTTAGAAGAGACGTAACTTGGAGGCATTCCCCAGTGTGTCTACCAGACAGGTTGGGCAAACCTGGGAAGAACAGGTTATAGTCGAGAAATGCAAGCCTTGAGTTTCAGAAAAGAATCCCCGTGAGACTATTACAGAGATATATGTGGCAGATGCAGAAGTAGGAGGCATTGGAAATTCCAGGGAGTGCCACAATGCAGGAGGCTTTCTGAGGGTATGGTGAAACTGGGCTGCAGCCTTTATAATCTACTACTCCCCTTTTGGTCCCTGAGGAGCAAGGATTAGAGATAGCTTTGATCAGTGTTGTTGGTCTCAGCCTGAGACCACACTCCCACCCTCTACCTTGTTCTTCCCTATCATCAACTTGGCTACTCCATATGTCCATTCACTCAATGACCAGGATTCAGATCTCAAGGTCTCTAAGTGTGGCTCCTCACTCCTCTCCCAATAGGATCCTCTCTCCTTTCTGTCCCCCCACTCTTTATTATTTCCCAGATTATCCCACCTCCTCCTGGAATCTGCCCACCTCCATTCTGCCTGGTCCAGCCACACCACCACCAGCCAGATCCTGCTCCTCTCTTATCCAGATATAGAATGGGGAAAAGATCTGGAATCAGAGAACAGAGTTCATAGGTAAAGGTGATGCTCCCGCCCCCCCCCCAAAAGGATCTGTGGAGTCAGAAGAGTGATCAAAAGGAAACATAGCCTAGCCAGCTCCTTCCAATGAGCAATGAGCACCAGCATTTCCTCGCGGCCCTCATTCAGCTTACACACCATACGCCTCATTAGACACCACCTACAGTAATGCAAGTTAACAGCTCTGATGAATGAAGATGTTGCTTTAAAGAATAAGAGAGCTCTGGCCCCTGGAGAGGGAACATTCTTCCATTCATTTGTCTTCTCAACCCCTCCAAGAGCTCAGTCTCCAGAGTTTGTCCCCGGAGGCACCCAGCTATCCCTTGCCACATGGAGCCAGCCCCCCACCCTCTGGGAATCCCAGAGATACAGCCCACAGGACATACAGAGCACAGTGGAGATGACCCCTAGGAGACAGAGCAGCTGAACAGGATTTGAATGCTGAGGTTCCATGGTCCTGGATCTGGATCCTGGTCCAGAAGTCAGTCAGTATCCAGTTTCAGTCTAGGTTCAAGCTTGGTTCTTGTCATTCATTCCCTTAATTCTGTCACTTGCCTTTGAGTCTCTGTTTTGGAGCAGAAAGACAATCAATGGTCAGGGGCCAGAGCAATAGGTAGGGTGTCTGCCTTGCATGTGGCTGACCCAGGTTCAATCACCTGCATCCCATATGCTGGGGTCCCATGATCACCGCCAGGAGCAATTCCTTAGTGCAAAGCCAGGAGTAATCCCTGAGCATCACCAGGTGAAGAAAAAAAAATTAAAAAAGACAATGGTCAGTTTCTGTGACACAGGTTCCCTGAGACCCCCAGAGACACAGGTCTTCCTATGTCCACAGTTTATTCTCTGTTCCATCCCAATCCCACCATGAGAGCTTCTTAAATCCCAGTTCTTATCTTCATGCTTAGGTCCTCCCTTGGGTGCACAGTGGGGGGCAGAGGGTGGTGGCTGATTCAAAACAATCTTATTAGACAGTTTTTCCACTAAAGATATTGAGACCAGAACAGCACAGGACATGTTAAAGATAACTGATATATTACTAAACAATTTTTGATTCAAAAAGAAATCTATATGAATATTAGAATATATTTTTAGAAAACAATTTTAGGGGTCAGGGAGAGCTAGTACCAGAGGTAAGACATTTGCCTTCCACAAAGCTGACACAAGTTCAATCTCCTGTAACCCTTCCCCCACCCCACCCAGAATGATCCCTGAACATAGAGTCAGGAGCTCAGGCACTACTGGATGTGGCCCCAAAACAAAAATTAATAAAAGGAAAAAATTTTAAGTAAAATGTACATAGAACTAAATATTGGACTGGAGCAATAGTATAGTACGTAGGGCACTTGCTTTGCATGCAGTCATCTGATTCCAGCATGAGGGCTGCCAGGAATATCCCCTGAACAAACATAGAGCCAGAAGCCATGAGCACAGCCAAAAGTAGCTCCAAAACCATATAGAACTGAATGTTAATGAAATATTACATATCAAACAGGGTATGTGAGTCTGATGAAAGTGAATAAGTTCTGTAAATATAGTTGGAGAGTACTGTACCAGTGTAATTTTCCTTCCTGGACTCTATATATATATATATATATGTATATATATATATATATATCACCATGGTGGTCTGGAAGAAGGGTTAAAGAACGCTTTTCTGGGGGAAGGGAAGGGGAGGGGGAAAAAAGGCTTCTCCAAAAATTTTTTACAACTTCCTGTAAGCCAATAATTATTTTAAAACCAAAAGTTGTGGTGTCAGAGATATAGTGCAATGTTTAAGCTGTTAGCCTTGCAGCTGGATAACCTTGGCTCAATAAATCCCAGGCACCACATTGGGTCCCCCCAAGCACCACCTGGAGTGACCCTGAGCACAGAGCCAGGAGTAAACCCTGAACATCACCAGGTATGGCCGCAAAACCAAAAGGAAATAAAAAAGAACTGAATTCAACTACTTTAGCTGGCATTCAGGAGTTCTCCATACTATCCCCAGTGGCCCCAAACCACCTCTCCAACTTTGCCTGGCATTGTTCTTCTACACAGAAATCCAGCTGTTGGTCACTTCTGCCACCCTTTTTTGTCCAAATGGCGGACACCTGGTTGGTTCGCTCAGAAATCTGGTACAAAGGGGCTAAGACCCAGCGGAAGAGGAGGGACCGGGTTGGGGTAAAAGATGGGCAAAGAATCCCACAAAATAAGGGCAAACAAGGACACACCCCAACCAGGAATGCAAACCACAGGACCCCAGTGATCGGGATCCGAGAAGGGACACAACTGGGGGAAATTGGGATGAAATCCTCAGGGATTTCGGGGGTGCAAGAAAGAAATGGGGGATGGGTTGGGGCGCTCCCACGATGGACGAGAACTCAAGAGGGACGGGAAATCTCTCAGGGAGCCGAGAGCGCATGGGGGAAGAGCAAGAAAATACGGGTGAACCACAAAGACTGGGCTGGGGGAGACGACCCTAGAGCATGACAGAGGCGGTCAGGAGGGGTGCGCAGAGAAATGGGGGCGACATGGAGGAAGGGGGAGATAACAGAAATGGAGAGATAACAGAGAAAACGGAGAGAAGGCGACTATTAGCGCCGAGCCCCTGCTGCCGTGAAATTTCGGGTGAAGTTCAGGCGATGTACAGAGGGAGGGGAGGGCTGACATGACAGGAAACTCGAGGCAGCCCCAGAAAGGTATGAGGGTGGGGGGGGTGAGGTTCAAGTTATACAAGGGAACGAAGCCAAGGACGCTTGTCTCACTGACAAGCCGGCGAGAAAGAGGGAGACTGAGGCTGAGAACAGAGCACTGACGCAAAAAGGGGGCACAGCCCAAGGAGGAGGGGTGTGAGGGACAGAGGGGCAGGGAAATCCCAGAGTCGGAACGGGCTCAAAAAAGAGTGATTCGGTTGCTGAGGCAGCGAGAGAGAAGGACGAGAAAGCCGGGCGTTGGGCGACCCAAGGGAGTTGAGACTGAGAACTCACAAGGCAGATCAACGCTCTGGGGGCGGGGCCGGGTTGGCCGTTCCTGAGGGGGAAGGGCCCGGCTCGCCAAGAAAAAAACGATACTCGACGCCCCATTGGCCACCGACTTCAAAGGGGATGAACAATCGGGGAAGGCAAACCAGAGAGAGTGAAGGAAGGGGCTGGAGACTAACTCGAGGCGCCATTGGCTGACCTGATAGCCTGACCCCGGGAGAAGCGAGACAAGAGAAGGGGGCGGGCTTTCGGTGTGAGATCTTGAAGCGCATTGGCCACCGGCCTCAGCAACGGAACGCCACGCTGGAAGCTCATTGGTCCTTGTGAAAGGGGCGGGAAAACCAGCACGAGCCCAGCCGTTCCTCTTCGAACTCCCTCACAAGCTTCTCTTCTTTCTCCAGACTGAGGCCGTCTGATTATCTTGACGAGAGAGACGACGGTGCTGTGGTAACCTGCTGTGGTAACCTGCGGAAAGAGGACCCCCGCCCTTCCTGATCCCTTCTCCTCTTCTCTCTTGTGCTGGACCCCCCTGTCTCCAGGCATCCCCTCGACCCTCCTCTCGCTGCTGCTCGCGCCTTCCTCCCCTCCCCTCGGCACGCTCCTCTGTGCCTCACCCTCTCCCGGGGATCTTTGAGTGGGGCAGGGCGGCGGCCACCCGGTTTGAGGGTGCAGCTGCTGAAAGGGAGTAACCATTGCAGCATGTGGGGGGCGCTGTATTGCAGTGAGTTATGGGTGGGGGCAAAGGTGCCTAGAGCTCAGGGTACAGGGACGGGTCTGCCCCCTGTTGGGATGGCATGGGGGTGCATGGAAAGAACTCTTGAGGACCTGGTACTTGGCAGAGGCTGGGACAGGACTTGTTGATTGGATGAAAATAATTATTGAGGGGCTGGAGCAATAGCACAGCTGGTAGGGAGTTTGCCTTCATGTGGCCACCCCGGGTTTGATTCCCAGAATCCCATATGGTCCCCTGAGCACCGCCAGGGGTGATTCCTGAGTACAGAGCCAGGAGTAACCCCTGTGCATCGCTGGGTGTGACCCAAGAAGCAAAAAAAAATCATTATGGAAAGGAATAATAACCATGAGGAATCTCTGAGAACTGAGTCGTTACTGAGGGGTGGAGGGGTGCAAACACAAACCTCAGAGCAGCGAATGTGGTTCCAGCAGGAGGGTGAGGATTAAAAGGTGGGGGCAGAAAAGTCTTGGTAGCAGTTGGATGGAAGCAGATCCTTGGTAAAGAAACTCCCATGGGTTATTAGGATCAGGTGAAGGGCTCCTGGAAGGGACTCCAACCTGGGATCTGTAGCTGGAATCATCCAAAGAATGGGAAGAGAATGTATTGGGGTCGCAAGAACACAGATGTAAAGGTGGAACTGGAGAAAGGAGCCATCCAGAAAGAGGTGGGGGTGTAAGATGCATGCCTCGGTGGGCCCAAGAGAGACCGACACCCCCTGTGGCCTGCATGGGGTACCCCCCAGGCCACCCTGACCCTCCACTCCTGCTCCTAGAGCGATGGAACCCAGTGAAATGCCTGCTGTTCTCCACTGCCCCTCAGACTTGGGACCTCTGGGGGAGTCGCAGGCCCCCCAGGGCATGGAGTTTATCCAGGCCAGGAGAGCTACGAGCCGGTCCCCAACCTGCGCCCGCTGCCGCAACCACGGGGTCACCGCCCACCTCAAGGGCCACAAGCGCCTCTGCCTTTTCCAGGCGTGCGAATGTCACAAGTGTGTCCTCATCCTGTGAGTATGAGCCTTCCCTGGGAGTGGTGGTGGGGAGTCTGGGGCTGGAACCACTGACCTGCACCCCTACATCCCACTTTCAGGGAGCGCCGAAGAGTCATGGCTGCCCAGGTGGCCCTGCGCAGGCAGCAGGAGGCACAGCTGAAGAGGCACCTGGCTCAGGGCCTAATGAGACAAGGGGCGGTACCTCCAAGAGCCCCCAGCCGAATCAAGAAGGGAATCACGCACCCAGGACTCCCCTGTAAGTGTGTACCACCTAAGAGGGTCCCATGATTTGAGAGAAGAACTCCTAAATAGAGGGATGAGAGGTAATTCTGGAGGAGGTGTTCCTCCTGTCTGGGCCTCAACCTTCCCAATGGTGACATGTGAGCAAGTGCCAGGAGGACCCAGTGGGCTTAGCATGTAGAAGTGGGGGTGGGGTGAAGAATCCAGTCTATTATTGGAGAGGAGTGGGGGATCAGAAGAAGGGGCTTACCAAACTCTCTCTTCACAGCTGGAAAGGAGAACACAGGGCCCCTTCCTCAGACCCCCCATGGGGCAGTCCCACTCGCATTAACACCCCCTGTGAAGGTAAGCAGAGCCGAGAGCCGGGTCCCCGAGAAAGTGATTCTCCTAGCTCCAACCCAATTCCCTTCCTTGGTACCCACGATGCCTGGGTTTTGAGGTTCAGTCCTGATCTTCTATATCACCTCAGGCAAGTCACTTCTTTGCCAAGGACAAAATGAGAGGGTGAGATTTTATGAGCCTCCAAGCTCTA